CTTAATGCAGGGCCTCGTAGTAAAGACACTGCCAGCTTGATGCATGTCTCATTGTCATTGACATCAGCAGCATTAAAGAACATCTCCATGTCGAAAAGTTGGTCACTCAGTGTCGTGTGTCTCTCGAGTGGGTTGAACGGCGGGGATTGCAGGTTTAATCTTCACAACTGCCCGCCGCTCGCTCATGCTATCGTCGCGCACTGCAGACGTTACTAGAGGTAGGTGCGCACTCACATAGTCTTCGTCTGCAGTAACAGGTGACTCCTGACGAGTCTCACAACCTGGCAAAGGTCCACATTCTCTTCCTTCAGCGTGGCGAGCTTTTTTTCCATCTTCGCCATCAGCTCTCCGAACTTCGTCGCCAGGACTGATGCACTTGCTGTCACGTCTGACAGCTCAGCAATCTGCTCAGGCGTCATATTTCTAAGGCTACGGCAACGATTACTATTAACCATAAATCACCCTAGCTAGCGAACGTCACTAACGACACTACGACCACCTGTAGTGTTAAAGAAATGGAATGCATACGACAAAGTCGACTGGACTAAAGAAGTCCGTGCATAACCGTTGGACAGTTCATGTCTCCTAACATGCTAGGTCCCTCTAGAAAATACCTATTTACAAAGACTAAGCGGGTAAGAAAGTAGCTCTGATACCAAGCGGTATGATATTTTCTGGATGAGATGTAATGCAATAGAGAGGTCGTAATTAAAGTGTGTCGAATACAAATCAGGCACAGAGCTAAATACAAGCACAGGTAGCCTAGCAAGGGACCTCGAGGATGGGCCACGAAACCCCCCCCAGGTGGTTTGGGCGCCTCAAGGCTCAGAAGTATCGCGCGCGACTCCACGTGTAGGCTTGGGGGTCTCGAATGTAATTCGGAACCTGGATTGTTGGACGGTCTCGAATGTAATTCGGAACCTGGATTGTCGGGACGAGCCTGGACTTCCGAAAGTCAGAGATGTACGCGGTGTTAGCGAGGATTCGCTAAAGAAATGGAATTTCCTCACAAATGAGCACGCGATGTGTTATGAATGGGACTGCCGAGTAGGGCGGAGGGCAATGGCGAAACTGTGAACGAGTGAATGACAATAAAATGAAAGACAATACAATATATAGAAAGCCTAGGGTGATCCTAGACGTAGGATCGGAAGGTTCAGGAAAGGTATCGAAGGGCCTCGATGTGTCGTAGCGAGGTCCGGAAAGGCCCAGGAGGCTCGAACCGATAGGTCTGGAACCCTGGCGATGGTTCGGGACTGTTCGAGTCGTACGCCCAGTAGCAAGCCTCAGTAAGGAATTACTAATTCCTTACACTCTCCCCCCTTCTAGATAAGCACACAAATAAACAAAACTACACACACTCTAACTGAATCTCGTAGTAGTGAAGCCACCACTGTTGAGAATCTCGAGCTTCTTCAAAGAAACTCCATCCAACGGTCGAAACACGTCGAAACGATCGCGCTCGATCGTAGCCATCGAATCTTGGTCGAATTACCCAGATAACAAAACGGGAAGTAGGGATACTACCGCACCACAGCTTCCCTGTCTCCAGCGAATCCTTCGCCGAGAATTACAAACCCAATCGTCGTGTACTGTATCCGCACAGTAACACCACGTTATTCACACTGCTGCAAGTTGGCGAGCCGAATCTTCTGCATAGCGCCAAACTTGTCCGTAGCTCCGTAACTGTAGATCGCTCCTCGTTTAATTCACACGAGTCGTGACACTCGCAGAAACACGCGTCCATATTTCGCAAAGTCAACGAACTCCAGCAATTCGTCAACTGCGAGGTCATTCGCGACACATGCGAGAACACGCGTCCGTGTCTCACGAAAGTCAGCGAATTCCATCAGCACATGGACGAAAACTCAACCCGACTAGTAACCATCGTCGATGTTGCCTCAGGCGGTCAACATATACGCGCCTTCAACTTTCGCAAACTCCTGCGAAATTCCTGAAATGCCAACTCGAATCTATCCGTCGATTCAGTCGGTCAAACAGCATCTGTCCGTCCATGCTCCTGCAGCGGATGTCAAACTTGTCGAGGGAAACTCCAAAAAAACAACTGCTGCGCAGCTGCTCTCTCCCCCCTCCATGAAAAGAAAATCCTGTCGTTAATACCGAAAATACCCTGCTTCAAGTTTCTTCAGACCCCAAACTTTTGACGTATCTTCAAACTCTGTTCGTCGAGACCAGTCTCAGCGCGACCCTAAAACGCAGGGCAGCTGCGCCACGTAGACTCTAGCTCCATCCGACGCCGTCGATAATATTTTTGCTCCGCAGAATTGCGTCGACCTGCTTCGTGTTGTTACCCCTTGTAGAAAATTTCTCAACTCCACCTGACCGGTTCACCGTGCAGACGTTCACCCATCGCGCGGTGACGACAGGTACCCCAGAAAAACTCAGGTACAGTTCGCAGCTCCGAAAAGCGCATTTTTTGCAGTTTCACCGACTAACCATGCTGGTATTTTAACCATCGCACAGCTCGGTAGGTACCCGTGACCCCAGCTACCGCTCCAGCCAAAAACTTGAAGAATTCCCACCCGAAAAATACCCGACGTTTTAGCGACGCGCCGACATTTACCCATCTTTGCGCTTGTCCAGGTAAACCCGAATGAGTCCTCGCATCCAAGTCTTCGATTATAGCCCCACAACTCAGGAATAATCCTTGAAGACTCCCGCGTAACTCCAAATTTTCCATGACGGCAACACATTTTTCCCACTGCAACAGTAACCCTTGTTGTCCTGAAGCTCCATTTGATGAATACACTCCAGAGCAGGGGTAAATCCGCCGTGAGCCCGTACTCGGGTAAGCGCAAACGCTATCGTAGTTGGGCGAATTAATCAGTCTAATTCGCGGGCAACCGCTTTGCAGCTTACGTTTCTGCAACAATCTGCTCCAACTGCTGCAAATTTCTTCAGCTGCTGCTTCCAGAGTAAAACCCCCGTAAGCCGCTGTTCACCCAGCGCCCACGTTCGTCGTTCTCCAAAACAGTACCGCGCACGTTCTTTCGAAAATCTCGCGCTCCGTCGATCTCGGCGACACATCCTCGCCGTTCGTATCGGACCCGAGCTCCGCGTACAGTGCGATCGCTTTCGCCAAAAACCTTCGTTATTTTCGTTAACCTGCTTCATGCGCCTCCCACTGTAGAGCGCCCGATTTTCACCAATCGTTCGCCTGTCGTGTAACGCCGATTTTTTTTCTTCATCGATCCACCGGCACAGGGTGATCCGCTGGCTCATCCTCCCTTATTCGTCCGGGAGCGGTCGATAGCATGTATTGTACTACTCCCCGGTGGAGATGTTGAAGATCGGGCGACGCAGCCAAGTCAGTCGGAGGATCCGTCTGCCGCTGACTCTTAATTTTTTCCCGGCTGTTACCCAGTCGTTCTCCTTCTCTGCTTCAGCTCTTCGTCGTTGACTTTTAGCGGTGACCCGGTGAATGACACTTAAACTCGACCCGAGGGTAGTTGCTGGTCGTCGTCCGTAGATCGTGGGGTATAATTTCTGACCACGAAAATGGCTTCCTTTGCAGGAATCCAGACTCGCCGAGCTCGAAACTCCAGGGCAGACGAATTACACCTCCAGGCGGGCAGGTCACGCGAAGCAATTTCGAGGTCAGTGCTCCCCGAAACTTTTCCGTGCCTGAGCCCCACGTGTGCTGCCGTGCGATCCTTGGTCGGGCCGAAAACTCCAATGCCGCGTTTGCTGAACAGTATCCGAAGTCCCGTCTTCACCTGCGTGTCGCCTGCCGGAACGCCGAGCCCTTGACATCAGCTACACTTCACTATGCAGCCACGTAGGCTACACGCGCTCCTGACGAAATCCATTTCGCCTGGGGATATCCGCGAGCTTGTCGTCTCGTGACGAGCTCCTCGCTCCATTCGGACACCAATCCGAATCGTCGTTGCTGCTTGCCGAAAATCCCGAAATTGCAACCGAAGCCCCTTTAACGATATGCGAAATGAACAACATATCGGAAACACTCTTCAAAATCTTCACCATGTCAGGACGGACACAACCGCCCTGGAGGGGATGGCTCTTCCCAAAAAAAAAAAAAAAAACGTTATGCCCTCGAAAGCCCAGCAGGTGAGGAAAGTGGCTCTGAATACCAAGTGCTATGAATGGGACTGCCGAGTAGCGTGGAGGGCAATGGCGAAACTGTGAACGAGTGAATGGCAATAAAATGAAGGACAATACAATATATAGAAAGCCTAGGGTGATCCTGGACGTAGGATCGGAAGGTTCAGGAAAGGTATCGAAGGGCCTCGATGTGTCGTAGCGAGGTCCGGAAAGGCCCAGGAGGCTCGAACTGATAGGTATGGAACCCTGGCGATGGTTCGGGACTGTTCGAGTCGTACGCCCAGTAGCAAGCCTCAGTAAGGAATTACTAATTCCTTACACGATGCACCCGAGCTCACAACAAGAGTATAATTGCCCATGTTTTATAGTTTGCCTCAAGATTCACGCTCATCTGGGACTTTGCAAATTCATGTGTCGAAACATGGGCTTAACAATTGCGTGAAGGGGGGATAAGGAGGTAGGCTCATACGCAATGGGCTAGGACAAGACCAGGCACGCTGCCCCTGCGATGGGACAAATATTCGACGGGCAAAGCTCATTGTTGTCCGAAGTTCTAGTCGGACATGCTTGTCATACCACCAACTAAGCCCACCTTTCGTCCACGATGACAGTTCTTGACAACTACTGCCCAAGTTTGGCCCCCTCATCAAAAGCCTTGTTGGGGCCATGCTCTCTCGAGACCCCAACAAACCCTGTATAAAGGCGGAGAGCAGCCCCATCCAACCACCCTCTTCGTCACACATCTGCTCGGCAGGAGACGTAAAATCTGCGTCAGCCGGGAATCGAACCCGGATCTTTTGCTTGGAAGGCAAATATCCTGACCATTGGACTACTGACGCACGGCATTGACGTGAATGCGTGTAAATATGTTTCTGTATTTTTAAACATTCTCACACCGCTCTGCCCCTTACCTTGTTCCGCCAATTATGGCAACCCCAGCCGCACCCGTGGGGCCAGCGGCGCAAGTGGCGGCGAGTGGAGGCGCGACAGCAACGAGAGCGGCGGACGCGGAGAGGGCGCAGTTGGTGCAGCAGCTGAACCTGGCGGGCGTCCGCGCGCGAGTGGCGGAGCTGCAGGGCAGCATCGCGCGCATGATGGGCGCGTTCCACGAGCAGCACGTGCACCTCAAGTGGTGCGTCGCTCGTTAGCAGCACGAGCACCTCAAGTGGTGCGTCGTTCGTTAGCGGCACGTGCACCTCAAGTGGTGCGTCGCTCGTTAGCAGCACGTGCACCTCAAGTGGTGCGTCGCTGCGTCGCTCATAGCGCCACGTCAAGCAGTGCGCCACCGTGCCCGCGTGTCGCCTGGCTCTCGCGAGACCGCGCACCATGCGACCAAGGCGATGCGGGCCGCTTGCTGCGTGCGGCGGACGAGTGGCTGTCGTGGCGGCGGCAGTCCGCCGAGGCCGGCACACGGGGATGAGAAGAGAGCGCCGGACGCTGAGGGAGCTCCGGCCTGGGGATGGCGGATGCACGGGGGTGGCGCCATGCGTGTCTTAGCCACTGGCGCCGCCAGACATGCCGCCAGACATGCCCATGTTGCGCTACGGAAACCAGGCTCTCACCTCCCCCCTGCTTCTCACCTCCCCTGCTTCTTACCTGCTTCTCCCCTGCTTCTCACCTCCCCTGCTTCTCACCTCCCCTGCTTCTCACCTGCTTCTCCCCTGCTTCTCACCTCCCCTGCTTCTTACCTGCTTCTCCCCTGCTTCTCACCTTCTCCCTAGTCGACCTTTTCTTCCTGCCCCTCCCTCCCCATCTCCCTGCTCCCCCCTCGCACGCCTCACGTCAGTCGCTCCCTCCTCCTCCCCCTTCCCCTGCTCCTCCCCCGTCCCCTCCCCCGTCCCCTCCCCCGTCCCCTCCTCTCCGCCTCCCCTGCCAGGGCCGCTCGATGGCGCCATTCTGTGCGGTGCGTGCAGAACCCCCCCTCTGTCCATTCCACTCTCCTCCTCCCTCTATCCCCCTCTCGTCCTCTCTCTCCCCCTCTCGTCCTCTCTCTCCCCCTCTCGTCCTCTCTATCCCCCTCTCGCCCTTCCTCTCCCCTTCTCCATCTCCCTCGCCCCTCTCCCCCTCCCCCCCCCCGTTGCAGGTCGGAGGCGGTGGCGGCGTTCAGCGTGGTGAGCGCGGGGCTGTACAGCCTGGTGGACGACGTCATGCCCATGCTGCGCTCCTTCGCCCTCTGCCCCGCCACCGTCACCGCGCAAAACGCCGCCGGTAGGTGCTGCGCACAACGCTGCTGTGGGTGAGTGGTGGCTGGAGAAGGTGTGGCTGCCTTCTCGTCTCCACCAACCTGCTGCTCGCACCATGTGCATTTGCCTGCCATGCTGCTTCCCCCCTCACGCATGCTACTTCCCCCCTCACGCACGCTGCTCCACACTCGCCTCCACCTTGCATGCTGCACCGTGTGTCTCTCGTTGGTCCATACAGGTGAGCGGTGTAGTGTAACCATCCACACATTGTCCCCACAGTTCGCCGCTCCTGCCCCCTGCCGGTGCCCATGCTGCCTGCCTCCTGTCGCGCCCATGCCGCTCTCACGCCATGTGCTGCTCTCATGCCATGTGCTGCTCTCATGCCATGTGCTGCTCTCATGCCATGTGCTGCTCTCATGCCATGTGCTGCTCTCATGCCATGTGCTGCTCTCACGCCATGTGCTGCTCTCATGCCTTGTGCTGCTCTCATGCCATGTGCTGCTCTCATGCCATGTGCTGCTCTCATGCCATGTGCTGCTCTCATGCCATTTGCTGCTCTCATGCCATGTGCTGCTCTCATGCCATGTGCTGCTCTCATGCCATGTGCTGCTCTCACGCCATGTGCTGCTCTCATGCCTTGTGCTGCTCTCATGCCATGTGCTGCTCTCATGCCATGTGCTGCTCTCATGCCTTGTGCTGCTCTCATGCCATGTGCTGCTCTCATGCCATGTGCTGCTCTCATGCCATGTGCTGCTCTCATGCCATGTGCTGCTCTCATGCCATGTGCTGCTCTCATGCCATGTGCTGCTCTCATGCCATGTGCTGCTCTCATGCCATGTGCTGCTCTCATGCCATGTGCTGCTCTCACGCCATGTGCTGCTCTCACGCCATGTGCTGCTCTCATGCCATGTGCTGCTCTCATGCCATGTGCTGCTCTCATGCCATGTGCTGCTCTCATGCCATGTGCTGCTCTCATGCCATATGCTGCTCTCACGCCATGTGCTGCTCTCATGCCATGTGCTGCTCTCATGCCATGTGCTGCTCTCATGCCATGTGCTGCTCTCATGCCATGTGCTGCTCTCATGCCATGTGCTGCTCTCACGCCATGTGCTGCTCTCACGCCATGTGCTGCTCTCATGCCATGTGCTGCTCTCATGCCATGTGCTGCTCTCATGCCATGTGCTGCTCTCATGCCATGTGCTGCTCTCACGCCATGTGCTGCTCTCATGCCTTGTGCTGCTCTCATGCCATGTGCTGCTCTCATGCCATGTGCTGCTCTCATGCCATGTGCTGCTCTCATGCCATGTGCTGCTCTCATGCCATGTGCTGCTCTCATGCCTTGTGCTGAATCAGGAGCTTTTTACATCCGCCTCTCCCCTTCTTCCTCCCCCCCCTCCTCTCCCAGGGCTGTGGATCTTGCAGTCGCCCAAGCTGCTCCCAGAGAAGGAGGTGGAAGGGAGGGCGATAGAGGCATGACTGGCCGACCGTTTCCCCCACTCCTCCCTTCCTTCCCCCCCCTTCCACAACCACCCCCACCCCCCCTCCCTCCCCCCCCCAGTGCTTCCCATCATGCTGTCGTCCAAGCTGCTGCCGGAGATGGAGGTGGAGGGGCGCGGGAGAGAGGCGGCCGTGAGGGACCCGCTGGGCGCGCTGCCGCTGCAGGCGCAGCTGGAGCAGCTGCAGCTGCAGGTGCGCGGCGCAAGGGGGGTTGCCGCTAGGCTTGGGCGGGCTGGGTACTGGGTGAGAGGCAGAGGGGCGGGTGGGAGGCAGAGGGGCGGGTGGGAGGCAGAGGGGCGAGTGGGAGGCAGAGGGGTGGGGTGGGAGGCAGAGGGGCGGGTGGTAGGCAGAGGGGCGGGTGGGAGGCAGAGGGGCGGGTGGGAGGCAGAGGGGCGCGTGGGAGAGGGGCACAGGTGCATGTGGGTGGGCGATGGAGGGGAGGCGATTGCGAGATTGCATGTGGTGGATTGCAGCGAGACCTTCCCTCCGCCTTGGTGGCTGCCAGCACCTCAGGTGGCAGGGAGGGTACGCCGGCATGCGGCACGGAGGGCACGCCTGGCGTGCAGCAGGGCAGAGCAGTTTCTGAGAATTCTGGAATATCCCTGGGAGGGGCAGGCCATTCTCACATGCTGCCGCCATGCAGCATGCAGCATGGCGACCCAGCAGACTGCGGCCAGCCTGGCAGCGCCGGGCCGCTGTGTGTTGCGAGGCGCTTGCTTTAACGCCCTCCCCTCTCTGCGTGGCCCGTGGCTGCTGTGCCCGTGGCTGCTGTGCCCGTGGCTGCTGTGCCCCGCGCTGCAGGCGAAGCTGATGGACCTGGCGTGCGAGCGCGCTGAGAAGGTCATTCTGGACGCGCGCAGGGCACACGGCATCGGCGCGCGGCACGCGGCAGCCAGCGTGGCGGCGCTGTACGGCGCAGGCAGCACGGACAAGGCCGCGCTGGCACGCACGGCGGAGCAGGAGAAGGTTCTCAGAAACGCGCTGGCCACTGGGGAAGGTGGGGGGGGACAGGTTTGAAAGGGGTGCCTGAGGTGTGGGTGGTGGAAAGCTAATGGGCTGATGCCGCTAAATCCATATCCAATCTATTGAGGGTTGGGGGGGGGGCATGGGGCCTCTATTTCAAATGCCTCTTGCACACATCACGCTCTGAACATCCTTCCTACCCTCTCGCTGCCTCCCCCTCTCGCTGCCTCCCCCTCTCACTGCCTCCCCCCCTCACTGCCTAACCCCCTCACTGCCTACCCCCCTCACTGCCTACCCCCCTCACTGCCTACCCCCCTCACTGCCTACCCCCCTCACTGCCTACCCCCCTCTCTGCCTACCCCCCTCACTGCCTACCCCCCTCACTGCCTACCCCCCTCACTGTCTACCCCCCTCACTGCCTACCCCCCTCACTGCCTACCCCCCTCACTGCCTACCCCCCTCACTGCCTACCCCCCTCACTGCCTACCCCCCTCACTGCCTACCCCCCTCACTGCCTACCCCCCTCACTGCCTACCCCCCTCACTGCCTACCCCCCTCACTGCCTACCCCTCTCACTGCCTACCCCAAGCATCTGTCCACGTTCGTCCACCCATGTGCCACTGCAGCCTCCAACCACACTCCTCTCCGTCAACCACACTCCTCCCCGTCAACCACACTCCTCTCCATCAACCACACTCCTCTCCGTCAACCACACTCCTCCCCGTCAACTACACTCCTCTCCGTCAACCACACTCCTCCCCGTCAACCACACTCCTCTCCGTCAACCACACTCCTCTCCGTCAACCACACTCCTCTCCGTCAACCACACTCCTCTCCGTCAACCACACTCCTCCCCGTCAACCACACTCCTCTCCGTCAACCACACTCCTCCCCGTCAACCACACTCCTCTCCGCCAACCACACTCCTCTCCGTCAACCACACTCCTCTCCGTCACCACCTCTCCCTCTTCCTTGTCTGTCGCCTCCGCGCAACCCCGATCCCTTCCACTCCTCCGCGCAACCCCGATCCCTTCCACTCCCCCCACTGCATTTCCCGCACCACGGCTCGTCCTCTCGGCCGGGCGGGTCGTGTTTCCTTCGCTCCACCCGCGCCGCCCCTCGTCCTTCCCCCCACCACCCTCTCCCCCCATGGGCCAGGGTTTCGTGTGGCACCTCTGCCTGTCTCTGCTGGCCCTGCCAGGCCCGCCCACCCAAGCCACGCCACCCGCGCCAGCGCAGCGGGCCAGGCAGGGCCGCCAGCGCCAGTGGAGCTGCCGCCTCACATGCGCCCGCGCAAGCGCAAGCACCCACACGACGCCGCTGCTGCTGCTGCAGCTGCTGCGGCTGCTGCGGCGGGTGGCAGTGGTGGCAGTGGTGGCGGTGGGAGCAACATGCCCGCTTCAGTTTCATCGCCCGGCCCTCATGCCGGTATGCTGCTGCCTCCTCTCCCCTCATGCCCGTATGCTGCTGCCTCCTCTCCCCTCATGCCCGTATGCTGCTGCCTCCTCTCCCCTCATGCCCGTATCCGTATGCTGCTGCCTCCTCTCCCCTCATGCCCGTATGCTGCTGCCTCCTCTCCCCTCATGCCCGTATGCTGCTGCCTCCTCTCCCCTCATGCCCGTATGCTGCTGCCTCCTCTCCCCTCATGCCCGTATGCTGCTGCCTCCTCTCCCCTCATGCCCGTATGCTGCTGCCTCCTCTCCCCTGCCACCCCTCTTTCGCCTCCCCTGGTCCCCCTTTTCCCCCTCTCCGCTCTTTGCTGTGCTGCTGTGCTGCCGTGCTGCTGTGCTGCTGTGCTGCCGTGCTGCTGTGCTGCTGTGCTGCCGTGCTGCTGTGCTGCCGTGCTGCTGTGCTGCCGTGCTGCTGTGCTGCCGTGCTGCCGTGCTGCTGTTCTGCCGTTCTGCCGTGCTGCCGTGCTGCCGTGCTGCCGTGCTGCTGTGCTGCCGTGCTGCCGTGCTGCCGTGCTGCCGTGCTGCCGTGCTGCTGTGCTACCGTGCTGCCGTGCTGCCGTGCTGCCGTGCTGCCGTGCTGCCGTGCTGCCGTGCTGCCGTGCTGCCGTGCTGCCGTGCTGCCGTGCTGCCGTTTTGCCGTTTTGCCGTGCTGCCGTGCTGCCGTGCTGCAGTGCTTCCGTGCTGCCATGCTGCCGTGCTGCCGTGCTGCCGTGCTACCGTGCTGCTGTGCTGCCGTGCTGCTGCGCTGCCATGCTGCCGTGCTGCCGTGCTGCTGTGCAGCCGTGCTGCCATGCTGCCGTGCTGCCGTGCTACCGTGCTGCTGTGCTGCCGTGCTGCCGTGCTGCCGTGCTGCTGTGCTGCCGTGCTGCCGTGCTGCCGTGCTGCCGTGCTGCCGTGCTGCCGTGCTGCCGTGCTGCTGTGCTGCTGTGCTGCCGTGCTGCCGTGCTGCCGTGCTCCCGTGCTCCCGTGCTCCTGTGCTGCTGTGCTGCTGTGCTGCTGTGCTGCCGTGCTGCCGTGCTGCCGTGCTGCCGTGCTTCCGTGCTGCTGTGCTGCTGTTCTGCCGTTCTGCCGTGCTGCCGTGCTGCCGTGCTGCCGTGCTGCCGTGCTGCCGTTCTGCCGTGCGTCCGTGCTCCCGTGCTCCCGTGCTCCCGTGCTCCCGTGCTCCCGTGCTCCCGTGCTCCCGTGCTGCCGTGCTGCCGTGCTTCCGTGCTGCCCTGCTGCTGTGCTGCCGTGCTGCCGTGCTGCCGTGCTGCCGTTCTGCCGTGCTGCCGTGCTGCCGTGCTGCTGTGCTGCTGTGCTGCCGTGCTGCCGTGCTGCCGTGCTCCCCTGCTGCTGTGCTGCCGTGCTGCCGTGCTGCCGTGCTGCTGTGCTGCCGTGCTGCCGTGCTGCCGTGCTGCCGTGCTGCCGCGCTCCCGTGCTGCTGCGCTGCCGTGCTGCCGTGCTGCTGTGCTGCCGTGATGCCGTGCTGCCGTGCTGCCGTGCTGCCGTGTTGCCGTGCTGCTGTGCTGCCGTCTGCCGTCTGCCGTGCTGCCGTGCTGCCGTGCTGCCGTGCTGCCGTGCTGCCGTGCTGCCGTGCTGCCGTGCTGCCGTGCTCCCGTGCTCCCTTGCTCCCGTGCTCCCGTGCTCCTGTGCTCCCGTGCTCCCGTGCTCCCGTGCTCCCGTGCTCCCGTGCTGCCGTGCTGCCGTGCGGCCGTGCGGCCGTGCGGCCGTGCTGCCGTGCTGCTGCGCTGCCGTGCTGCCGTGCTGCCGTGCTGCTGTGCTGCCGTGCTGCCCTGCTGCCCTGCTGCCCTGCTGCCGTGCTGCCGTGCTGCTGTTCTGCTGTGCTGCTGTGCTGCCGTGCTGCCCTGCTGCCGTGCTGCCGTGCTGCCGTGCTGCTGTGCTGCCGTGCTGCCGTGCTGCCGTGCTGCCGTGCTGCCGTGCTGCCGTCTGCCGTGCTGCCGTGCTGCCGTGCTGCCGTGCTGCCGTGCTGCCGTGCTGCGGCGCTGCCGTGCTGCCGTGCTGCCGTGCTGCAGCGCTCCCGTGCTGCTGTGCTGCCATGCTGCCGTGCTGCCGTCCTGCCGTGCTGCCGTGCTGCAGTGCTGCCGTGCTGCGGCGCTGCCGTTCCGCCGTGCTGCTGTGCTGCCGCGCTGCCGTGCTGCTGCGCTGCCGTGCTGCTGTGCTGCCGTGCTGCTGTGCTGCCGTGCTGCTGTGCTGCTATGCTGCCGTGCTGCCGTGCTCCCGTGCTCCCGTGCTCCTGTGCTGCTGTGCTGCTGTGCTGCTGTGCTGCCGTGTGGCCGTGCTGCCGTCCTGCCGTGCTGCCGTGCTGCCGTGCTGCCGTGCTTCCGTGCTCCCGTGCTCTCGTGCTGCCTTGCTGCCGTGCTGCCGTGCTGCCGTGCCGCCGTGCTGCCGTGCTGCCGTGCTGCCGTGCTGCCGTGCTGCCGTGCTGCCGTGCTGCCGTGCTGCCGTGCTGCCGTGCTGCCGTGCTGCCGTGCTGCCGTGCTGCCGTGCTGCCGTGCTGCCGTGCTGCTGTGCTGCGGTGCTGCTGTGCTGCCCTGCTGCCGTGCTGCCGTGCTGCCGTGCTGCCGTGCTGCTGTTCTGTTGTGCTGCTGTGCTGCCGTGCTGCCCTGCTGCCCTGCTGCCGTGCTGCTGTGCTGCCGTGCTGCTGTGCTGCGGTGCTGCGGTGCTGCCGTGCTGCCGTGCCGCCGTGCTGCCGTGCTGCTGTGCTGCGGTGCTGCTGTGCTGCTGTGCTGCCGTGCTGCCGTGCTGCCGTGCTGCCGTGCTGCCATGCTGCTGTGCTGCTGTGCTGCCGTGCTGCGGTGCTGCCGTGCTCCCCTGCTGCCGTGCTACCATGCTGCCGTGCTGCCATGCTGCTGTGCTGCTGTGCTGCCGTGCTGCCGTGCTGCCGTGCTGCCGTGCTGCCGTGCTGCCGTGCTGCCGTGCTGCCGTGCTGCCGTGCTGCCGTGCTGCTGTGCTGCTGTGCTGCCGTGCTGCCGTGCTGCCGTGCTCCCCTGCTGCCGTGCTCCCCTGCTGCCGTGCTGCCGTGCTGCCGTGCTGCCGTGCTGCCGTGCTGCCGTGCTGCCGTGCTGCCGTGCTGCCGTGCTGCTGTGCTAACGTGCTGCCGTGCTGCCGTGCTGCTGTGCTGCTGTGCTACCGTGCTGCCGTGCTGCCGTGCTCCCCTGCTGCCGTGCTCCCGTGCTCCCGTGCTGCCGTGCTGCCGTGCTGCCGTGCTCCCGTGCTCCCGTGCTGCCGTGCTCCCCTGCTGCCGTGCTGCCGTGCTGCCGTGCTCCCCTGCTGCCGTGCTGCCGTGCTGCCGTGCTGCCGTGCTGCCGTGCTGCCGTGCTGCCGTGCTGCCGTGCTGCCGTGCCGCCGTGCTGCCGTGCTGCCGTGCTGCCGTGCTGCCGTGCTGCTGTGCTGCTGTGCTGCTGTGCGTGGAACGCCCACTCGTGCACCTGCACACTCTTTTTTGCCTTGTCGCGCGTGCACACACACACAGGGGCTGTGGGCCCACAGTTAGGTGCACTTTCCTCTCCCTTTCACCCCCCCCTCTCCTCCTCCCTTCTCCCCATCTGCTCTACCTCGTCCTCACCCCACCCAGCAGCAGCGCCCCCTCTCCCCCCTGCTAGATCTGCCGCTCCCTCTGCGCCCCCCTCCCTGCCCCTTTCCTCCGCCGCCGCTCGCCCCGCCCCCCTCACCGCCACTCCTGGCCTTAACGCTGCGTCGCCCTCCCCCACCACAGCCGCTGCTGCTGCCACTGCTGCCGCTGCTGCTGCTGGCACTTCAGCTGTGGGTGCGGCACCCCCTATGGCAGGAGCAGCAGGAAGGGCAGCAGCAGCAGCAGGTGCAGGTGCAGCGCCCCCTGCCGTGCGCCCCTCCTCTACGCCTCTCACTTCTGCCTCTGCCGCGCCCACACCTCTCCTCGCCACCTCTGCGCCTGTCGGCATTGCACGCCCATCCTCCGCAGCCAATCCCATGCTGGCACCTGGCGGCAGCAGCACCGCCGCAGGGGGGTCGGGCGCGCCGACCATGCTGCTGGGCATGCCGAGCGGCATGCGCACGTTCGAGGGGCTGGGAGGGGCGCTGCTGGGAGTGCCGGGGGGCTGGCCGGGCGCAGGGGCAGGCTCGGTGGGAGGAGCAGTGCCTCTGGGGCGAATGCCGCCTTCAGGCTCGGGCTTGGTTCGGCCAAACGTGCCGACGGGGGCCGGTCAAGGTGCGGGTGCAGGGTTGGCAGGTGCAGGCAGTGCAGCAGGCGGTGGGGGAGTGGGTGGCCCTGGAGCAGTGGGGGGTGCAGTAGGGGGCATGGGGGACTCTGCTGCTGCTGCTCCTGCGGCTGCTGGCGCAGCTGCCAATGCAGGCCCACCAGGGGTAGCAGGAGCTGCAGGTGGGGCAGGAGGAGGAGGGGGAGGAGGGGGAGGAGGGGGAGGAGCGCTGTCGGCGCTGGGTGCCACCATGGGCGCCACAGGGACGCTCACAGCGCCCCAAATGAGAGGAAACTTCTCCGCACCTTCTCCAGGCAACCTGGGGCATGTGGGGGCGGGGCAGATGCATCTGGCGATGAGCCCCCCCCAGTACGGCCTGCAACCTGCCGCGGGGGGCTACTCCGCCCCCTCGCCCCCCGTGTTCCAGGCGCCCTCCCCCGCGCTGTCGTACAACGCGCCGTCGCCCCAGCTCATGCAGCACACGCACCCACACTCGCCCATGCTGCCCCTGCAGCAGCAGCAACAACAACCGCAGCAGGCAGCATCGCCCATGGTCCCAGGAGGGGCTGGTGGGGCGGGGCAAGGGGGGCCGCAGCTGCTGCAGCAGCCGATGGCGTCGCTGAGTCAGCAGAGGCAGATGCAGCGACTGCACCTGCAGAGGCAAAGGCAGCAGCAGATGCAGCAGCAACAGCAGCAGCAGCAGCACTTGAACTAGGGGTGGCATGGCGACAGCAGCAGAGGGTAGTGGTTGTGGGTAGGGAGGGCAGGAGATGGCAGAGCAGCACCTCGGTGGGAACGAGTGACTCGGGATTGCTTGCTGCCTTGGCTGGGGAATGGCTGCTGTCGTCCATGGTGCATTCGTCTCACGAGGCTTGGCGCACGGGCCATCGGGCATGAACACGCTTGACAAGGCTGGACACGGACGCTACCACTGCCATTTTAGCGGGATCGGTGCGGTGCGGTGTGGTTGGCGTTTGAGCACGTGATATCCACGCCCACTGTTCTTTATCCAGATGCTCTTTCTGTTCAGGCTGGTAGCGTAAACTATGGCCGTGTCTTGCATGGCTTGGCTGGCAGGGGGACCAGCATGGTTGCAGTTTGTCAATTCTTGCAGCGCTCATAAGGAGCTGTTTTGGTGTGCAGTGCGAGTCGAGGGGCGCAACAAAGCTACGGGCACAATACATCGCTCAAAATCCAATTGATGAAGCCCAAACTGTCAACAAGCATGTGTATATCTAGGTTAGCTGTCAGCTAGGTTAGATATGTTTGCTATGTCTGCCGTCGCCGCCGTCGTTGCCACTCCTGGCCTCTGGGGGTGCTGGCGCTGAGGAGGGTGTTCGTCCTGCGGCTCCTCGCGTGGTCTGTCCCGGCGGGCCTGGGGGTGCCGCTGGGGCTGGAGAGGGTTCTCGCTCTGGGGGTGTTGGTTCTGGGGGTGCTGCTGTTGAGTGTTCTCCCGGAGGTCGTCGTGCCCCTGCCGGTTCGAGGGTCGTGCACCAGCCGCCGCAGCAGCCGCCGCAGTCGTCGCCGCCGGTCTCCGCTCTTCGCCTGCTCGGCCTTCCCTCCCCTGACCGCTCGCTGGTGTCTCCCCCACCTCCTCCTCACCTTCCTGTCTACGGCCATGTGTTCCCGCCCCCGGACTCTTCTCCAGCCCGTCTTCCTCCTCGTTCCCCTCTTGAATCCCCTCCGCTGTCTCCTGACCCTACACCTCCGTCCCACGTTTGGTCTCGCCGTCCCTCACGTGCTCGTCCCGTCTTCCCTGTCCCGCGCTCCCACCCTACATATGTTACTCCGTTCTCACTTGTCTCGTCCTCCCCTCCTCCCCTCGCCTCCTCCCTCGTCTCTTGTTGTTGCACCTCCCCCGCTCTCTGACTACCTCCGTGCCGCTCGTCCCCTTCTCCCTCGGGTCCTTGCCTCTCTTGTTACAAACCCGTCTGTTCCTGTCTCTCGCCTTGACGCGCTTGTCGCTGCTGTCGCTGCCTTCGCCTCTACCCGCCGCCTTGACTACGCTACCGCTTTGGTCTCTGACCCAGCCCGTCCTGCGTCCATCGGGGGTGCACCTGCCCTTGGCAGTGAGGTACTAGAGGACAGGCAGTACGAGCTTGCTTTCCTTTCCGAGGCTGCTCCCCATCTCTGCTCCATGCTCCTAGTCCCAGAAGGTGACCCAGACGCCTTCGACATCCCGACCCCTCGCACCTACGCTGAGGCCACCTCGGGACCCTGTGCCTCTCAGTGGATAGCTGCCATGGAGCAGGAGATGGCATCTTGGAGGTCCACCGGCACTTACGTCGACGCACTTCCCCCGCCTGGGGTGAACGTAGTCGATGGTCGGTGGCTCTTCAAGGTGAAACGCCCCCCTGGAGAGCCGCCTGCCTTCAAGGCGCGCTACGCGGCCAGAGGCTTCAGCCAGCGCGAGGGGGTGGACTTCTTCCAGACCTTCGCCCCGACCCCGAAGATGACCACTCTTCAAGGCGCTGCTACACGTAGCAGCACATCGCGACTACGAGCTTCACTCCCCCGACTTTTCTACTGCCTTTCTTCAGGGTAGCCTACACGAGCAGGTCTACCTGCGTCGACCTCAGGGCTTCACTGGTACCTTCTCCTCTGGGACCCAGTGGCTTCTCCGACGCCCGGTCTACGGCCTGCGTCAGGCTCCTCGCGAGTGGCACGACACGCTGCGTGCCACGTTAGCAGACCTGCAGTTCTTTGCTGACCCCTCGCTGTTTGTGCGTTCCGGCCAGACTCCGTTCTACATCCTTGTCTACGTAGACGACCTGGTTTTTGCTACTGCTGACAGGGACGCACTGGCCTCTATCAAGGCCGAGCTGCTGATGAGACACACGTGCACTGACCTTGGAGAGGTGCGTCACTATCTTGGCCTGCAAATCTCCAGGGACAGTGCAGCACGCACCATCACTCTGACACAGTCACACTTGGGGCGTCAGGTTCTTCAGAGGTTCGGTCTTCAGTTCTCCTCCGCACAGCCCACACCTCTACCTGTAGACCATGGGCTCTCTGCTCCAGTTCCTAAGGAGCCAGTAGAGCCCAGTGGACTCTACGCAGAGCTGGTGGGTTGCCTCATGTACCTGATGACTTGCAATCGCCCAGATCTTGCATACCCTCTCAGCATCCTGTCTCGCTTTGTGGCCACTGGCAGACACCGGCCATAGCACTGGTCGGCCGCTAAGAGGGTTTTGCGATATCTAGCAAGTACATCGGGCATGGGGTTAATGCTAGGAGGACGCAGGCCAGTTGTCCTCACTGGGCACACAGACGCTTCTTGGGCCGACGACTTCGAGACTCTCAGGTCCTCTCAGGGCTACTGTTTTAGCCTTGGTTCGGGTGCTATCTCTTGGAGATCCACTCGCTCGTCGTCTGTTGCTCAGTCTAGCTGTGAGGCTGAGATCTACGCTGGTGCCATGGCGGCACAGGAGCTCCGCTGGTTGACCTTCTAGCTCACTGACTTAGGTGAGCGTCCTAGCTCTGCCCCGGTCCTGTACGCTGACAACAGGGCCATGATCCTCCTGTATCAGGAGCCTCAGCTTGAGGGCAGAGCGAAGCATATCCAGCTGCAGTACTTCCTCCTGCGCGAGCTACAGCAGCGTCGCCAGGCCCGTGTAGTTCACTTGGCCTCCAGTGCCAATACAGCTGATATCTTTACGAAGGCGCTTGCGCCTAAAGATCAATCGCGACACTGTGTACAGGTTGGTCTTGTTCCTGTAGCTTCTCATTTGCTAGGGCCATGATTGTGTACTCTTTACTATATATACATGTCTGACTGGCCTTGTGGCCTTATCTCCAGTGGCTGGACTAGTCCTGCCGCCCTGGCTTGCTTTAGTCTTGTTTGTACTCTTGCTGACTGGTCTCCAGACCCCTGCCTCAGAGGTTGGACTAGTAGTGCCACCCTGAGCTGTGTGCTTCTTGCTTTGCACCACCCCTTCGCTAGCCTAGGGGGTGTGTCAACTTATACATATGATCTATGTAGAAGTTATAGGCTAGACTAGGTGTGTGCTTCTAGTGAGTACAACCCAACTGGTATATGTTCTAGGTTTCTCCTTCTAGTAAGCCATTCACGTATTCTAACAGTTAGCTGTCAACAAATTCCAATTGATGAAGCCCAAACTGTCAGCTAGGTTAGATATGTTTGTTATTACCTACCGTAGCTGGGACAGCTGTTAGGGGACATCACTTCGATTGAATGTGTATCTCCCCTCCCCGTCTTCCTAGCCATCATTTCACATGGTATCAGAGCTAGGTTAGGTTCCACCTACCCACCAGGGCCCCTAACAGCAGACGAATTCGGTCTGATCGTCTGATAATCAGACTTGATTTTTAAAGTTCATCTGATTTTCAAGACCACTTTATTAATTCCGTCTGAATGTTAAGACAGACGTTTTTACTTCGTCTGAAAAATCAGACTGCGTGTAATATTTCGTCAGAGTTTTCGGACGAGTACATTTTCGTCTGAAACAAACAAATGTGCCCAATAGGCCACAAGGCAGCTTGTCTGCCAGATTCGGTCATTCCCCGTGCCATGCGTAATTATGAAAACGCGTGAAGTCGCATCGCATCCACGCTTGATATCTTCACCAAGGCACTACCTCCTCAGGCCCCTAGCTGTCCTCTGACTCAGTAGCTGCCACGCCATTGTCTCTTAGCAGGGTGTCAGCACTCAAGCCAGGCACATCGCAAGACTCAGTGTGGCGGTATTACGTCAGGGCGTTGTCCCTTAGCGTATTGTCGGCACCCGTGACAGCATTGAGCAAAATGATCCTGGCAGCATTGCGCCAGCACATTTCGTCCTCGGCAGGCAAAGATGCAAGGACATGAGTGATGCACCGCGGGCTGCGTCCCACACCATGCGTCGAGGCGCACGAACGAAGGTGCTTGGAGGGAGATGAAAGTCCCCCCAGTTTGTCCCCCTAACCCATCATTCCTCCTTTCAGGCGTTCATGCGTAGCACAAGCAGCAACAGCTCCCTACGGCTAGCTGCACGACTCTAAGCGTGTAGTTTATGCTCCTCTGCGGCTGTTTCTGGCTTGCGCGATCGTGAGACAGGCCCCATGACAACAGACGCTCCTGGGGTCAGCGCCCCAGCAGCCATACCTAGTTCTTCGCGACAACCCTCGACTGCTGCTCCGTCGATCTCGGCACTGGATCTTCTAGGCCGCAAAACGTGCAGCCAGTTTGCTGCTTCCCCTGCGCTGTCTGCGGTTCCTTCCTGCCCAGAGCCCGCTAGTTTGGCGCCGTCGGTCATTCCACGGACCATGACGGCGGCTAGAGTGGCGCCCGCTGCAGCGCCACCCGCGGTAGCGCCTCCTAGTCCACCGCCGGCATCGTCGCCGTCTACCATGACGCCACATAGTCCCTCGACTGCTGCTGTGGCGCCTACTGCTGCGCCTCCTAATCCCTATCCCGTTGCTTCACCTCCTACCGTGCTGCCTGCTTCGCCCCTAATTGCATCTCAGCCTGCCGTGGTTCTTTCGATTCCATCCTCCGAGGCTACACCCAGCACCCCGCGCTTCGACGGCTTGCTGCCAGAAGTAGACGTTGAAGAGTGGGTCCGCAGCCCGCTCCCCCCATCCTCTCCTCGCGTCGCTAGCACGTCGACTGCTGGTGCACCGGCCCCTCTCTTCTATGCTGGCCCTGTCTTACCCACCAGGTACCTTGGGAAGACGAAGTACAAGCAGCGCAAGCTGACATTCGGGAGGCCGAGAACACCCACCTCCACGCCAACTACTCCACCTGCCGCGCTCACGTCAGATGCTGGACTGTCGACCCCTGATTCACTGGACGACATTGTGGACGACGGTCCATGGCCGCTGACACTGGAGGAGCTGCAGCTGAAGTGCAGTGAGCAATGGCAACGTCACTTCCCCTGGCTGTTCATCTCGAAGACGAAGGAAGGTCCTCCGTGCACGAAGTGCACCGTCTGCATCGCGCACGGAGAGCCAACGTACCAGTATGGGCGCTATGGGGAGGGCGGCATCGACATTCAGAAGCAGACCATGCGGAAGCACGATCACAGCATCAAGCATGAGGCAGCGATGGCGGCAAAGGCGCATCGGGATGGCAAGATGAAGAAACAGAGGAGTATTGTGGAATTTGAGAGTGGGGATGAGGACGCACGACGTTTGAAGAGGCTCTTTGCCATTGTGCACTTTATCTGCAAATCTGACGCCCCCATCGCCCTGTTTGTTTCGTTGGTTCAATTCATGGCAGAGCAGGGGACTCCGGACATGCCCCTGAAGGAGAACGGCACATATTATTCAGAGTGAGTGTAGTCGAATGACACACCCTCTCACCCTGACTTATGTTATTGTCCGGCTTGGCTGTCTTTTTTAAGCTTCAAAATACACGACTGACTTGTCTGTTTAACTCTGCAGGTACGGTTTCGCCCAGCTGGTCGAAACCATGGTGGCCTACTTGCGCGCAAAGCAGTTGAAGCACATCCTGACAAGCCCGTACCTCGGCATTCAGCTCAACGAGAGTACGGACAGGCGGCGGGGGAAGCATCTCATCATCTACTTGACTTTCCTACAGGGCGAGGAGGCCGTCACCGAGTTTTATGCGCACCTCACAGTGGACAAATGCGACACGGCTTCGCTGCAAGCTATCCTCCTCACGCATCTCGACGCAACCGGCGTGGACCTCCAGAAGATCTGCGGCATCAGCACGGATGGTGCGAGCGTCATGACAGGCACGTCGACCAGGCTGGTGGCACAGCTGCGGTCCCGCATCCCGCACCTAGTCTCTTGCCACTGTGTCGCACAAAGGTAAGAGCAGTGTTCTGAGGCACCAAATTAAAAGCATGCTGTACATCTTCCAATACAATCACCCCCTTTTGACTACGCTCATGCTTACCTTGTGTGCAGGGAAGCTCTTGCTGCCAAGGATGCGGCAGCTGACTTTCCTGACCTTGCCATTGTTGACAAGGTCGTGAAGTCACTTGCAGAGGTCCTCGGCAGGTCTATTGTCTTGCATTCACGTTTCAAGCAGCTCCAGGATGTCGTCTCAGAGACGAACCTGGAGTTGCAGGGAATCCACAACATCAGATGGTTATCCCGAGGTGAGGCCATCCAGAGGCTAGTCGAGGTATTCCCTGCCGCCATCATACTCTTGTCGGAGCATGACCGGCAGGCGTACACCATGGTAATTAGCTTGAAATTCCATTTCCTACTCTACTTCCTTGCCGATGACCTCAACGAGCTCAACCTGCTCAACCTGAAGTTTCAGCGCCGCCAGGTAAATGCTAATGCATCCCGATGTGCGGCTTAATAAATGACTAATTTCTAACATCTCTTTGCTTTTCCTTCAGGTCGACGTCACCCACGTTTGCCAAATGGTGGACAACACCAAGCTAACTCTGCGCAGCCGCTACGTCAACTATGGCGAGGCCTTCGGTCATGGCAACACGGCCCTAGTGGAGTTCATCAAGAAGCACTCATCACCACATAACCGCGAGGTGACGGTCGAGGGCGTAGACGGCGATGGCACCAGGCTCATCCACACCTACACGCTGTACGAGAAGGCTCTCCCTGGACAAATCAGTGGCAGGGACATGAAGTCGCTGATGACCGTGGCAACTGCGTTCGTGCTCGGGCTGCTGGACAGCATTGATTCCCGCTTAGCAGATCTGAAAACCCTCAACTGCTCCAAGCTCTTCTGGCAGGGAGCGTATCCACGGACCATCCAGAAGCGGGAGCGACGATTTCCACTGTGGCTGACAGGTTTACGCAACCTGTACAAGCGTGAACCCTCTTCTCCCGATACCCTGCCTGGTGAACCCTCAACTACAGCAAGCTGTTCCGCGGCTAGTTTCTCCATTCCTCGGTCCTCACTGCCAAAACCCAAGGATTCACGCATGTATTGACTATGCAATTGCACTTATCTCCCAATTGTGCTCACTCCATGATTTCCCCTCCGTGTCCTGCGCCTGCCCCACCCTTATTCCAGGCATCAACTGGACAAAGGCTCAGAAGGAACTGGCTCAGTTTACGACTATCATGTCAACACATTGCAAGGACTACGGCTTTCTCGATGGCCTGAAGAACATGCTACGATCCCCTGACTGGCAGACGGCCTACCCGAACTTGGTGCATCTGTGGATCGCTGTGGCAGTGCTTCCTCTGAGCACTGTCGAGTGCGAGCGGGGTTTCAGTCGCCAGAATGTAATAAAGAGCTGGCTCCGCGGGAACCTGTGCGACGCGAAGCTGTCGGATCTTCTGTCCATTTCTCTCCTCGATTACGACATGGAGTGGGACTCTATGGTGGAGAGGTGGCGGGCAGGGAAAAAGCGGCGGCCGGCAAAGGAGGTTGTCATGGCACAAGCGGCACGCCCGCAGAAGAGGAAGATGTCAGAGGCAGCAAGAGCAGCCAAGAGAGCAACCAAGAGAGCAGCAGTAGCAGCAGAGTCAGCAGCCCGGCAAGCTGCAGCAATGGCCGAAGCAGAAGCGGCAGCTGAGGAGGACCATGGAGTCGCCTACTGGAGGAGGAAGGCAAGAGGCAAGGCCACTGCGATTGACTTGGATTCTAAGAGTAAAGAGGAGCAGCAGGACAACCCCTTTGCAAGTGACAGTGAAGATGAGTGAAGTCCTGTGTCAGCATGATTCTATGCTCGACCGACTGTCAATGACGTGCCATTGAAGTGCTACTAGCTAGTGAAGTGAGTAGATGCTGTCATGTAGTGTCGTTGGGTTACATATTTAATGGTAGATTGATTTCTGACTTGTATTTCTAGCCTAGAGTGTTAGGTTATTTCAGCTACTTTAAAAGCTGTAGGACTTATGTCCAAGGATGCGTATGCTAGACTAATATTCGAAGAAATTAGACAGGCATCTAAACTTCGTCTGAATAGTCAGACAGCCCTGAAAATTTCGTCTGAAAACTCAGACTAGAGCCAAAATTTCGTCTGATGGTCAGACGGACGCACAAAAGTTGGTCTGAAGATCAGACGCCCCTAAATCCTAGCAAGGACGCTGCTACCCACGCTTCCACCCCTAGCTAGATCACTCCGTGCCGCCCCTAGCCGCCCCAAGCCGCTCCAAGCCGCTCCGTGCCGCTCCGTGCCGCCCCTCGCCGCTCCCCCCCCCCCCCTCTTCCCCCGTCATTCACTCGCGCGCCCGTCGCCAGCCCGCGCCAGCCAGCGCCAGCCAGCGCCTGCTCGCGCCTGCCGGCTCGCCCGCTCGCTGCGCTGCACCTGCAGCTCGCCGCCTGCGCCTGCTGGCTGCCGGCCCGTTAGCCCTCGGCAGCCCGCTTGCCGCCCGCTCACCGGCCAACCGCCGCGCCGCCGCCGTCGCCAGCCCGCTTGCCGCTGGTTCGCCGCCCGCTCGCCAGCAGCAGCGCCGCCGCCGCCGCCAGCCAGCTCGCCGCTGCCTAGCCGCTGGCTCGCCTGCCAGCAGCCGCGCAGCCGCCCCCACCAGCCAGCTAGCCGCTGGCTCGCCGCCCACTCGCTCGCCCGCCGCCGCGCCGCCGCCGCCGCCAGTCAGCTCGCCGCTGGCTCGTCGCCGCCGCCACCCAGCAGCCAGCTAGCCGCTAGGACGGCTAGGAGAGCTCTTAGAGGGGGCAACAGTTTGCATATGTATCTCCCTCCCCCTCTTCCTAGCCATCTCTTCATGCTCTTCCAACGCCAACCACATGACCGCTGCGTGGTGGAGTAATCCAAGCAATTAGTACCACGAGACATCGCTGCTCATGCCGTGCCATGGGACAGCAGCCTGCCCCACAGCTCTACTCCACATTGGAGTACCACACGAGTGCCGTCTGCGAGCACAGTGAGTCGCGGTACTTCCTGCCCGCGCCCACGCGGCACCCCTCCACCCACTCGTCGCGCGCCACCCACGAATCGCGGCTCCAGTCCAGCACGCCCAGCACCGCACCCCCCCGCCACGCCGTCACCCCCGGCGCATGCCGGCTCGCCAGCACCTCCACCTCCACGCGCCCCTGCCCGCCCGGGCCCCCTCCCGCAGCAGCAGCAGCAGCTTGAGCGTGCGCTGCAGTGTCTGCCGCTGCTGCCGCTGCCGCCGCCGCCACAGCTACTGCGGGGTTGTGGCCTGGGGTGGGCTGTCCTGCCGCTGGTGCCACTGCAGCAGCGGCAGTGGCGGCGGCAGCAGCAGCGGTGGCGGCCTGCTGGGCAATGGCTTGCAGGCGGGCCAGCACGGCCCGGGGCACGTCCTGTTCGATACGCCTGCGCAGGCCCCGCAGGCAGGCGCCGCCCCCCGTGAGGATGACGTTGGTGAGCAGCTTGTCCCTCGAGTCCCGGTCCGGCACCGCCGCCACGCTCGCAGCGATGGCCGCATCCACCCCCACCAGCACGGGCGCGCGCCGCCCGCCCGCTGCTGCAGCCCCAGCAGATGGGCCCGCAGAGGCAGTGGCAAGAGCAGGCGGCGCGCGGGAGAGGTCGGGCAGGGCGAGGGCGTCGAGGCGGCGCAGGGCGGAGTCGAGCAGCGACGGGTCGTCCAAGGCGTCCTGGTGCTCCACACGGTAGTGGGCGGGCGGCCATGGCCAGGGGGAGAGCGGCGAGGAGGGGTGGGCGAGGGGAGAGAGGAGGAGGGCTGGGCGGAAGAGAGACTCCGCTGCTGCTCTCATGGCCGCTCGCGGCAGCCGCACCGCATGCCGCACTGCCAATGACGTGGCAGCTGACGTGTCAGGTGACGTGGCAGCTAGCCTCTGGATGAACTCCACACGGCAGCTCTTGAAGGGGCTTTGCCCGCCCTGGTCGTCCTCGTCCTCCCCCTGCATGGCATCGTCCCCCCCTGCCTCCCCCACCTGCAGCGAGCAGAGCCTCTCCTTGAGCGCGTGCAGCTGCACCCACTCCTGCACGTCGCCCCACGGGTCAAACCCGGGGTACGGCCACTGCCACTCGCCCTTCTGCCACCACTGACCCTCCTCTCCATCCTCACCGTCTGTGCCATCAGCACTGGCAGCCGCAGCACCCGCGCTACTACATTCCTCCCAACCCTTCTCTCTGCTCGCTCCTCCCTCCCCCCCTCGGGTGACATCGCCCCTTGCTCTCTTGGCCACCCTCAGCGACCTCCTGATGCCCTCGCCACTCTCCCTCTCGCCCACCTCCTCCTGCTTCTCCCCTTCTTCCCCCTCCTTCGCTTCCCCACTTGCCCAATCCGGATCCTTCCGCTTCTCCCCTCCACTCCTCCCTTCCCCCTCCTCCCCCACAGCAACCCTGCGCGCGCGCCCCCGTCTTCTCCTGCCTCCCACCATCTCATTGGCAGCCCACAGCAGGCAGTCTCCCACGTCCTCGGAGCCCACTGGCAGCACCACTCGGGACCCCGGGCGCACGCTGCCCTCCTCCACGCACGCCACGCTCACGGTGTGCGCGCCCACGTCCACCACGCACGCCGACGGCGCGGCGCTGCCAAAGGCGGCGGCGACGGCCTGCTGGTGCACCACGAGCGACGCCAGGCGCAGGTCGCGCAGCGCCACGCCCACCACCTCCCTCACCTCGCGCGCGTCCATGGATTCGGGCACCACCAGCACCGCTGATAGCCGCCCCTGCCACTGCTGCTGCTGCTGCCGCTGCCGCCGCTCCCGCCTCTGCTGCTCATCCAACCCCTCCTCCTCCTCCCCCTCCCCTATGCGCTCCTTCCCCACGTCCCTGCCCGCCCGCTGCTGCCTGCCGCCACTGCCAGCAGCAGCGCAGCGCTGCTCGCGCCACAGAGTGGTGAGGGCATGCCCCCAGATGGCAGCCAGGTCGTCCAGCACGGCCAGCAGCGGGTACGTGGTGCTGGCATTGAGGTGGCCGCGCGCCATGGGGCGCCGCAGCTTGTACGGCGCGCCACACGGGATGGCCAGCGCCTCCTCGCCCACCACCAGCGTGCGGCGGTGTGGAGGGCGCTGCTGCCTGGGCTTGGAGGGATGGGCGAGAGGCGGCGCGCAGGGCGGGACATGTGAGGCCTCCTCACCCGCCACTGCTACGCGCCCTCCTTGTGAGTCTTGTCGGCCCGATCTCACTGGGGCTCCTGCGCCCTTCCCCAAAGCGTCCTTCCCCAAAGCGTCCTTCCCCAAAGCGTCCTTCCCCAAAGCGTCCTTCCCCAAAGCGTCCTTCCCCAAAGCGTCCTTGGCGCCACCCTCATCCTGCCCATCCCCACCCACGCATGCCACTGGAGAAACCTCGCCACAGGAGGCTGTGTTGGGAGATGTCTTCCCAGCCGCACTGCCGCTAGCACACCCCTCCTCTCCCGCACTCTTGGTGTGCGCCTTGCCCCCACCTTTCTCCCCCTCCCGTGCGTCCCCATGCGCCACATCCCCCTCACCCGTCACCTCCGCCTCGCCTTCACTGCCCGCCGCCCTCCTCGCCTCGCCTGCCACTGCCTCGCCCTCCCCTTTCTCTTTCACCACCCCCTCCTCGCCGCCCCTCGCCTCCCCTCCATCACCTCCCCCCCCCTCCCGCGTGTCCTCACCCTCGCTCCATTGCCTGCCATCCTCAGGGGCCACGCCCTCTGCCCGCCCAACCCCTCCCTCATCCTTGCTAACCACCACCCCTTCACCCGCCCTCCGCTCTTGCTGGCCCTCTGCTGCTGGCCCCTCTCCCCCATTGCTGCTTCCCCCCTTCCCACCTCCACTGCCCCCTTCCTCCTCTGCTCCTTGCCCCCCGTGTGACATGCCACCGTCCTCCTCTTTGCTCCCTCTCTCTACCTCCCTCCTCACTGCCCCATCCCCCTCCTTGCCCTCTCCTCCCGCAACCGCCCCTTCCTCGCCACGCACCCTCTTCTCACCTGCCATGCGTGCGCCATCTTCCTCCGTCGCCTCCTCCTCCTTCCGCCCTCCACCCTCAACCACCTCCACCCCACCTCCACCCTTCCCTTCGCCCACCCCACCCACCCCCTTCTTCAACTCTTCCGTCTCTCTCTCACTCTCGCTCCCTTGCGCCTTCTCCACCTCCCCCCCCTTGGCGCCACTTTTCTCCTCCTCATTGCCACTGCCTTTGCCCTTCCCCTCGCCCTCCCCTCTCTTCGCGCTGCCCTGGCCCCCCTCACCCGTGTCAGCGCCCTCCTCGCTTCCTTTCTCCTCCACGCCTTTCTCCTTCTCTTCTTCATCCCTCCCTCGTTTCTCTCCTCGTCCGTCCTCCGTCCCTTCTTTCTCCTCCGTCCCTTCTTTCTCCTCCGTCCCTTCTTTCTCCTCCGTCCCTTCTTTCTCCTCCGTCCCTTCTTTCTCCTCCGTCCCTTCTTTCTCCTCCGTCCCTTCTTTCTCCACCGCTCCGTACTCCTTTCCTCTCGTGCCGTCATCCGTCCCCCCCTCTGCGCCCACCACCGCCTCCCCAGCACGCAAGTCTTCATCCGCGCCGTGCCCCGCCTTGCTGCTCGTGCCCTCGCCCTGCCCATCCTTCATCGCCACATTGCCCCCACTGCCCGCCCTCCCACTTCTCTCCGTATCCCCGCCCTTCGCCTGCTCCCCCTCCCCCCCCTTCTCAGCCATCCCTTCCTTTCTTCCGCCCTCCCCCTCCTCTGCTTTCCTCCCCTCACTCGTCTTTCCTCCGCTCAAATCCCTCGCAACCCCCTCCGAATCTCCCCCGTCCTTCTCCCCCCCCTCCCCCCCCTCCTCCCCCTCCGCCTCTCCGCGCGCCCTCTCCTCCACCCTTGTCCAGACGAAGCTTGCATCCTCAACCGCCACGCCTCCGCCCCTCGCCCGCCCGTCACACCCCCCCTCCCTCCTCCCCTCCTCCTCGCTTCCCTCCCTCTGTCCCTCGCCCTCTCTTCCCCGCCGCCCCCTCCCGTCCGCCAGAGGCGGAAACCCTAGTTCCGCCAGCATCGCCTTCAGCGCCTGCCTGCGCTCTTTGAGCGCCGCGGACAGCTCCTTGGCGGCGGAAGCAGCGCTCGTTCCTTCCGCCGCCTTCCGCGCCCGGCCCTCTCGTCCCCCCTCCACCTCCCCGCCGCCCGCTGCTTCCTCCGCGCACTCGTCCACTTCTCTCCCTCCCGCCCGCCACGCATCGCGCAGCCGCGCGTCACTCCCCCATCCGATCGCCCCTTCCCGTCGCCCTCCCGAGTCTCTCGCCCCTCCTCCCTCGTCCGCGCGCCCCGCGGCCTCGTCTCCGCTGCTTCCACTCGCCGCCCCTCCCCCCGCTTCCGCCACGAACCGCGCGATGACGTGCGGTATGGCGAGCGGCGCGGGCGAGGAGGCGAGGCCGATGCGGAGGGTGAGCGAGCCCGGGTGGATGACGACCAGCGCCGCGCCGCGGTCCGCCAGCAGCTGCGAGGGCGCTGCCGCCTTCAGCGCGTCCATGGCGACCCGGGGGAAGGGCGGGGAGGGCGAGAGGAAGACGATGGGTGCGTGTGAGGGGCGTGGTGGAGACGGCGTGGGTGGCGAGGTTCAAGGCGGCGGCGCCCTCGCAGCCACAGCCAGCCCGCGATAATTTCTAGGGAGGGGCAGGAGGCAATGAGGATATCCCACCCAACAACTCGCCACGCAGTAGCCGAAGCGTCACGATGCGCAACGTTCAGGGCGTGTCTTGCGCGTTCTTACACTATTCAGTTGGCATGAGAAGTACAGAATTCAGGTATAGTAACCCGAAATTCCGCGTCTTTTAGGACCCGCACGAAAAGTGCACGGTTTTAGCGGACGCTCTCGAAGCGTCCCAAATAGTCGTGTGGCGCACATTTCCAATCGGGCTGGAAATTGTGCCCGAAACAGACTCTCGCCAGAAACGACAAATCCTGGCTGGCAAAAAGGGAACATCGATATGGCACCCCTCCGGATATACGCACCATGGTGCGTTTTAGCCGGCGGTGCGTATATCCGGGGGAATACGGTACTGGCTGTTACTGGAGGTACTTCCAGTATTATTTTCTACTTCAGTTTCTTGTGTCTGCAGATTTCATACTTAGTCTTCTGCACCGTTTTACAAATTCTTACACCCTCTAAGAGTACGCACCTATCTAGCCTATAAGACATACAAAATATGTTTGACACTTCAACTCTTTTACTTCTGACTGTTGGGTTGCAAGATCAACGGTCTGTGACCCTTGCCTTTTCGCAACCTCCATGGGATGTCGTTAACCTTCGCCAACCGCCGGTGGTACTGTAGCAGAATCGACTCGGCAATCCTCAATGTTGTTGTTCTCACGTATTTGTACAGCACGCGAGAAGGGCCTCAGAAGTCAGGCCAAAAAGGCCTGAAAGCCTGTATATCATAGTGTTTTCCAAGGGTCGGCCTGCTTTTCAGGTTTTGATTTTCCCTTGTCCTGATTTTTAGGGGCTCTTATTTTGCTATGCCTGAATTTTAGTACGTTCTTGATTCGTGTACCCTGATTAATCAGCCTTAACGAGTTTGAGGCCTGAAACAGACCTCCCCCTCCCCCTTCCCCCCCCTCCCCCTCCCGCCCACACATTTGGTTGGATTGGGGTCCGAAGTCTGCATGGTGGAGCACGTGTGAGAGGCGTGATTAGTTCTTGACCAAATTCACGCGTTGAAATGGGGTCGCGATAGAGCACGTGAGAAGAGAGCTTGAGTGATCCTTAGCCGAATTTACCTGCAGCACTGAAGATGTGTTGGAACATGTCTCTATGGCGTGATTAGTCCTTGCCCAAATTCAGTGATTTTCTACCAATCAGCGGGGGAGCTTAGAGCGTGTTTCTACAGGTGAGTGGGTGAGTTCAGACACCCCCCTCGTCAGGGGGTTTTCCTATCGATCGTTGACCTCGGTGGTTAATTTTGGTTAAGTATGCCCATCCAAACCAACCAATTTTGAAACATTCAACTCGGTCTGTTGTGCGTTCGCACAGCTCTTTTCGAAAAAATCGCGACCAATCATTCAAGATCTGGCGAACCGGTTTGCCTGCTGGAACCAAACCGTGTAAGACGGTCCGTCGTGCAGAGCCTGTTAGAAAACTGAGTGATTAGAAAGGAGAGAGAACAAGGGAGATATAGGGTTTGGGCTGTACTCTCTAAGAACACACACCTATTCTAGCCTATAACTTCTACATGCAAATGTATGTATAAGCTGACACACCCCCTAGGCTAGATAAGGGGTAGTGCTGAGCAAGAAGCATACAGCTCAGAGCGGCACTACTAGTCCAACCTCTGAGACAGGGGTCCGAAGACCAGTCAGTAAGAGTACAAACAAGACAGGAGCAAACCAGGGCTGCACTACTAGTCGGACCACTGGAAGAGAAGCCACAAGGCCAGTTTGAAAGATATATATAAAGAGGAGTACACAACACAGATCCTAGCAAGTGAGAGTCTACAAAAACTAGACCAAGCTGCAAGCAGTGCCGCTGATGATCTTTAGGCGCAAGAGCCTTACTAAAGATATTAGCTGTGTTGGCACCGGAGGCCAAGTGTACTATGCGGGCATGGCGGCGGGGCTGTAGCTCACACAGGAGGACGCACCGCAGCTGGATGTGCTTCGCTCTGCCCTCAAGTCGAGGCTCCTGACACAGGAGGATCATGGCCCTGTTGTCAACGTACAGGACCGGGGAAGAGCTAGGCCGCTCACCTAAGTTGGTGAGCAAGAACGTCAGCAAGCGGAGCTCCTGAGCCACCATGGCACCGGCGTACATCTCAGCCTCACAGCTAGACTGGGCAACAGACGAGGGGCGAGTGGACCTCCACGAGATGGCACCTGAACCAAGGCTAAAGCAGTAGCCCTGGGAGGACCTGAGGGTCTCAGCGTCGTCTGCGCAAGAAATGTCTGTGTGCCCAGTAAGAACCACTAGCATGCGTCCACCCAACACAAACCTCATGCCCGGTGTACTTGCTAGATAACGCAAAACCCTCTTAGCGGCTGACCAGTGCTGCGGCCGGGGTCTGCCTGTGGCCACAAAGCGAGCTAGGATAATGAGAGGGTACCCAAGATCTGGAAGAGTGCAAGTCATCAGGTACATACTGTAAGGCAACCCACCAGCTCTGCGTAAGGACCACTGGGCTCTACTGACTCCTCAGGAACTGGAGCTGCGAGCTTGTAATCTACTGGCAGAGGTGTAGGCTTTGCGGAGGAGAACTGGAGACCGAACCTCTGAAGGACCTGACGCACCAAGTGTGGCTGTGTGAGAGTGATGGTGCGTGCTGCTATGTCCCTGGAGCTCTGTAGGCCAAGGTAGCAGCGGAGCTCTCCTAGGTCAGTGCAGGTGTGTCTCCTCAGCAGCTCGGCCTTCACGGAGGCCAGCGCGTCTCTGTCTGCAGTAGCGAAGACCAGGTCGTCTACGCAGACAAGGATGTAGAACGGAGTCTGGCCAGCACGAACGAAGAGCGAGGGGTCCGTAGAGGACGGAAAGAACTGCAAGTCAGCTAGCGTGGAACGCAGCGTGTCGTGCCACTCACGGGGCGCCTGCCGCAGGCTGTAGACTGGGCGCCGGAGGAGCCACTAGGTCCCAGAAGGGAAGGTACCACTAGGAGCCTTGAGGACAGCGCAGGTAGACCTACTCGTGAAGGCTACCCTGAAGAAACGCAATGGAGAAGTCGAGGGAGTGTAACTCGTAGTCACGCTGCGCTGCTACGTATAGCAGCGCCCAAAGAATAGTCATCTCCGGGGTCAAGGCGAGGCCTCTAGCAATGTAGCGCGACTTGAATAGAGGCGACTCTCCAGGAGGGCGCTTCACCTTGAAGAGCCACTGGTCATCGACCACTTTCACCCTAGGTGGGGGAACTGCATCGACGTAGGTGCCGGTGGATCTATAAGATGCCATCTCCTGCTCCATGGCAGCTATCCACTGAGAGGCCCATGGTCCCGAGGTCGCCTCAGCATAAGTGTGAGGGGTCGGGATGTCAAAGACGTCTGGGTCACCCTCAGGGACTAGCAGTATGGAGCAGAGATAAGGAGCAGCCTCAAACAGGAAAGGAAGCTCGTACTGTCGGTCCTCTAGGACGTCACTACCAAGGGCACACGCACCCCCAAGGGATGGAGGACAGACAGGGTCAGAGACCAGAGCGGTGGCGTAGTCAAGTTGGCGAGTAGAGGCAAAGTCAGCGACAGCAGCAACAAGAGCGTCAAGACTGGAGAGAGGAATAGACGGGTCGGTAACGAGGGAGGCAAGGACTCGAGGAACGAGAGGACTAGCGACACGAAGATAGTCAGACAGAGGAGGCAGAGAGACAACAAGCGACGATGGAGGAGGCGACGGGAGGAGGGGAGGATGAGACACGTGGGAACGGAGCAACATAGGGTGAGAGCGCTGAAGAGGAGAGACAGGACGGGCACGAGAGGGACGGCGAGACCAGAAGTGGGACGGAGGCGTTGGGTCAGGAGACACAGGAGGAGACACATTAGGAAAACGAGGGGTGAAACGAGCCGGAGACGAGTCCAGCAGCGGAAAAACAGGGCCGTAGACAGGCAGGGGAGGCGGCTGCAGCGGTGCCAGTGGTTGGTCAGGGGAGGGAAGACCGAGGAGGTGAAGGGCGGACACCGGCAGCGACTGCTGCTGCAGCTGTTGCTCCACGCCGACACCAGAACCTCCAGCTGCACAACGGCTGCCTCCAGGACTCTTCACACCAACACCCCCAGGACGAGAACCCTCTCCAGCACCGATGCCACCCCCAGGACCACCACCCCCAGAACCACCAACCCCAGAACGAGTACCCTCCCCAGCACGGGTGCCACCCCCAAGACCGCCGAGACAAGCCACGACAGTAATCCCAGGACTAGCACCGTGCTCAACGCCCGCACCCCCAGAGCTGGCGGACCCCTGCGGCGGCTGTTGTTGCGGCGGCGGTGACCGGGGTTGCTGCTACGGTGACAGCGGAGGAGGAGACACCGGGGGGGGGGGACAGGCGGCGAGAACAATGCCGCGGGGCCACCAGAGTCACATGACTCCTCGACCGGGACAACCGACGGGAAGGGAGTGACGTGAGACACACCAGACGGGGCGGGATGGGGAGGGAGAGGAGCAGGGGCTACCGGGGGAGTGGGAACCAGGAACAGGGGCGGGGAAACCGGGAGACCGCGGTGGGGAAAGCGGTCGTAGAAGGAGACAGACTCATCAAAAGTGGCGTCATGCGAGTGAAAGAAGCTGTGAGACGGCGGGTGGTAAAAGTGCCAGTCAGATGTGTCGAGGGAGAAGCTAGGGAAAACACAGGGGACAGTGCGGGCAGTGAGTTTGTCCGTGCCGAAGGCACGAACATGGGCAAGGCAGCCCCTGACGTGGAACGCAGACGCATCACCAGGAGAACCGGCCTAGAGGAGGGTCGGCCAAACCTGCGGCCGCTGGGAGTGCGGCCACAGGTTAAGCTGGTGGGCGGCGTAGCGAACAACGAACGGCCACAGAAAATGGGGTGCATGGGCATGGATCATGGAGGTACGAGCCATGACCAAACAAATGCGTCGCTTAGCAACCCCATTCTGCTGCGGGGAGTCTGGAAGGGTGTATGATTGGGTGATGCCCTCCGCACGACAGAACTCGCCAAGCCGACCGGAGGCGAACTCGTCGCCACAGTCGGAGTGGAGACACAGCACAGGGAGGCCATGGTGGACTCGCGCAGCTATGACCCACGGGATAAGAACGTCAGGCACATCGGCCTTCCGCTCTAGTGGAAACACCGTGGTGTAGCGTGTGTCGTCGTCGACAAGCACTAAAAGTAGCGCTCGCGATGTGGCCCACGGACTGGGGCTGGGCCCCAGATGTCCAGGTGCAGGGTCTGGAGTGGCGTAGTGGTA